TGAATCTTGAGTAGGACGCTTTAGGCTGCGTTCATACTTGGCGGCAGCGTCCACCAGCTCTCTGAGGGTCTGGCAGCGTCAGCGATTTAGGCATCGATCTGCCAGTGTCCACCAGCGACCAGCAGCGTCTACATGGCTAGGGAAGTGTAGGTATCGATCTAGCTTCTGCCAGCGTCTACCAGCGATCAGTTGTGTCCGGGAATGGAGAGTATAGGGAGGTGGGAGGGTAGCAGACTGCTGTTGTTCTCCTAGCTCCCCACTCTCTACTTGCGGACGCTGTTGGTCACTGGGTAGACGGTGGAAGGCGCTAGATTGATACCTATACTTCCCTAGCCCTGGAGACGCTGCTGGTGCTGGTAGACGCTGGCAGACCATGGATCGATATCTACACTTCTAGTCGCTGATCCTGTCGGATGCTCGGATCGCCGGTGGATGCCATTGGTCGCTCGTAGACGCCGCTGCAAAGTATGGACGCAGCCTAACGAACCTAAAACCCGACGCTAATCCACGCTGATCCTGTCGGCATGAATATGAGCAGGGACTGCTGACCCAGGTGCCTTCCCCATTGCTACCTTTATAAAGAATCAAAATGGTGATATTCTAGATGGAGCTCTGCCCTGGACAACCCCGTCCCTCACCAGAAATCTTCATTAAATTTTGGAATGTCCTCAAAGTTCCTGTCCACGATGGTCGTTTGGGCGGTGACAATAAACCATTATGCCTGTTCTGGACTGTGCCCTATGGCATCGATTGACTCCTACAGACCATTGTGTCAGCTTAATTTTATTATTTCTAGCATATTATTTCTACATTCGCTTAGGTTTCTGTTCAGGTAATAATTTAACCAACGCAACTGTTTATATGGATACGAAAATATATAAGCTTTGAGCAAAACACGGATTACAATGATTAACTTGATCAAACAATATTGAGCAGTAATTTACTCGTGTTCAGCTAATGGTCTTGAAGACCATTGAACTTCATAGTCTATCGTTCATCATCGTTTAAATCATCATTTTCAAGTACATTTGTGAGCGGA